TTGTCTAGCCATGCTGGACATCCTCTTTGGCCCTTTTACTCCCTCCTTCTGTGTGGATATAATCTCTCATTTTAGAATTGTGTTTTTAAAGATGTTCCAGAGCCATGCTGCCTACCCTCTATCTTCTAACCCCGTTTCTTAAAGAGGCTTCAAATCCCTTAAAAAAAAATCTACTTAAAGTACAAGGGGACAGTTAAAACAAGGACAGTACCACAAGGTTGCTGGTTAAGAAATAAAAATATTCTTGTTTCAAAAGCCCACTGACACTAATCCTGTGATCTGTTGCTCATAACAAGCTTTTCTTCCCACCAGGAGACATCTGTATGGATTGTTTCATTACAACGCCACGATGCTTAGACTTGAGTCGCTTCCAGATCCCACAGATACCTGGGAAATTATAGAGACCATAGGTAAAGGCACCTATGGCAAGGTCTACAAGGTGACTAATAAGAAAGATGGGAGCCTGGCTGCAGTAAAAATTCTGGATCCAATCAGTGTAAGTAACCACAATATAGGGTTTCATGTACATTGAGTTTTCAAATTCCTTCTTGATTCTGGGGGTGATTTTCTAGAGATAGTGAAACCTGGCATGATATCCCCAAATGAGTTATGACTCCCTGGCCCATCTAAATGAAGGGAATTCATTTGGATTCAAAAGTTCCTTTGATTTTTCTCTTTTGTCCATTTTGCTATTGTTTTGGTTTTAGTCCCCAGGGCTCTTCAATAGTTATTCTCTTATAAAGAGTGATGTTTTGGGTTTACACAGAGTCTGGTCTCTCTGTAAGTTACAAAGTGGCCCAGACTTGTGGTGTTCAGTCATCTTAGCCTGGCATCCATAATTCAGAGCACTGGACACTCAGCTTACAATGCTGTCCACTGTTTAGCACAGTGAGTTTATAAGTGTTGTATCCTGGTTGAATCCCTTTGTGCTACTTCTCCTTAATTGCTTTGAAAATTCAGACATTTTTAAATTTTAAAAATATATTTATGATATTATTATTAAAGATATATAACGAAGACATTTTATTGATATAACAATTAGAAGGCTTTAGTTGATATCTACATGTTCATTGTTAGGTGTTTTCAAGATATGGTAATGATGACATAAAAAATGCAGACTAAATATGCTTTATTAACAGGTTACCTGATCATGGTATCAGTCCTGTACCCTACCTCACACATTATATGAATCCAGCATTTATTTTTTTACCTTATATAGGATATGGATGAAGAGATTGAGGCGGAATACAACATTTTGCAGTTTCTCCCGAATCATCCCAATGTTGTAAAGTTTTACGGGATGTTTTACAAAGCGGATCACTGTGTGGGAGGACAGCTGTGGCTGGTCCTAGAGGTAAGAGGCTCCCGTTGGGTGACCATTGATTCAGACAGTGCACCAGGGGTGAGCAGACACGTTATTGCCTAAATAGTATAAGATACACATTTGGGGGAAATGATCTCTCCTGCATATCACAGGTACCTTACCAGATATGATATTCTCTACGTTCTTACAGGTAGGCTGTATGCTGAAAATGTGCATGTTTCTCTGCTTCTGAGGTTTTAATAATCTTTTTTTCTAATACAATGAATATAAGAATACAGTTGGAAAGGGTTATTTTCTACTCCAGGCTGGGAAAATTTCACAGAAAACATGTTCCAACTGATTGCAGCTAATTTTCAAAAGTTGTTAACCCAAGGTTTACTTGCTCACCAAATTTGAATCAGCCCATTCATGGTCATTAATCCTCATCTCAGGTTGGATTTCCTGAAAGTAAACTCTGACAGTTGTTTATGGAAGGTTATTGGAGAGTTCCTCTTCTTGGGGCTAGACCTGGATGGAAGGTGGGATTGGACAAGGGAGACAGGAAACATCAGTGTAGTTGTAACAGAGGCCTCAGCCCATCCTCAGGGAGAAGACCTGGGATGCTCTTGTAGGGTCGTCCTGTATTTTGTCTTTGCCTCAGCCAATCACTGGGTGCATGCCACCCTGGGTGGGCATGTGGCCTTGGGGGCGGAATTTCCCTGTAGCTAGGCACAATTCCTGGTGAGAGATGCCTCTGAGACTTGGGAGCAAGGGGCAGCTGATATTCCTGGCAACATCTGCTTTGAAGAGACAGTCTGAAGACAGCATCACTGTATCCACTATAGTCTTGCCTTCTTTCTACCTTGTTAATGGAATTGAATGTGTATAACTGGGTGCAAAAGAGTCCATTCCCCACAAATACAATTCCTCCATGGGACTAACATGGCAAAAATGCAGTGGCAGCATGTGAAATTAGTATATTAGGACAGGTCTGTTGTATTGCCTCATGCTCACAAGGCCCACCCTCATCTGTCCTAGACTTCACCCCTCTGAACCAGCCTCTGTTCCTGAGGTCACACGTGTGATCCATGAGCATGGGGACATGTGTGAAAGTTTTAAGAGAGAAGCAACAAAGGGGAGGTCAGTCCTGGATTTACTGTCTGGGGTCTTTTGTAGAAAACCTCCCATCTGGCTCTGGGAGGGCCTGGTCATGAGACAATATATATTGGATGCCAGAGCAACCATGTATGAGAAATTCATTTGTTGTATTCAGATGGGATAATCTGCAAGGAACATTTCTGTCATATTAGTTGTGCTCTTCAGAATAAAGATGTAAGGGATTTTGGTTTTTAGAAATCATCTTTGTCTGTTTAGTTGGCTAGTTACGTCACATAGCATGTTCTCATAGTATCGTCTTTTGGATTTTATTATCCCCCACTCCTTCCCTGGGGATATTACAGATTTTATCCTGCATACAAAGCTCTAGAATATTATTAACATTAATTTTTAAATGCTTATTATCGTGCAATATGGAAAGTAATATTTCTAGGGTCTCTGAAATAATAATTTCTAGGGTCTCTAGGGTTATATTCTTCTTAAACTCTGTAAGACCTCAGTGTTTTAAACCTGATTATCATTTAATAATATAAGTAAAGTGACCAAGAAGTCTTAGTTTCTTTTCATTTTACCCTGACTTAAAAAGACTCTGTGTTCAGATATAGAAAACTGGACCTCCCAGGGGTTTTCCAGAGCCTGAAAAGGGACTGTCCCTCCCTCCATTTGACCAGGTGGGTGGGTAGGCTGCTCAGACCTGCCACCCCCGGGAGGACGAGTGCTCTTCCCCATGAGGAGTGACCGAATGTTAGCCCGTCAGGCACAGCCAAGGCAGCCGGAAAGGGCTGCACCTGGCCTTGAAAGATGAGGAGGAGCTCAGAACTATGAACTGAGCCTTGTGCAGATACTTCCCCGCGGACTGCCTCTTGCTTTTTCCGGGTGACTAAGTACAGATAACGAGGTTGCCCTGGCTCACTGAGTTATTCATGCCTCAGCAGTATAGTATGTGGATATTATACCTTTTGCAGGTTGTGTTGATCCATGCCAAAGTGGACAACATGGGGAACCAGATACCCTCAGTCTTTTCTGTCTAGGGATGGGCCATCCATGCCAGGATCCTGGGTTAGCTGTGCCCGGTGCCTCCAGCATGCTTATAGACACAGATTCCTGGACTCCGAGAGCTGGCAGGGATCTCGGCCTTCAGGTCACTCTCCTAGTGTTCAGTGAGGAATAGAGACCCAGAGAAGGAGTGGCATGCTTACCGTCCCATAACCAGTTACACGGCAGAGCCAGAGAAGGACTGCACTTTGCTTTTCTCCCTTCTGTGTTGCTGCTGCCCACGATGCTGTCTGTCAGGCCCAGGGAAGAGACTTTGGATCTCTGGTTGAAATGGCAGCAGTTCCTGATGATACACACGCAAACACAGTGCTGGAAGATAATGACAGTCCACACAGTACCTTGACCATGTTGTGCCGCCTATAGCTTTTTAATGAGTACTTCAGGAAACTTGTACAATAAAATTATGATCTGTTTAATATTGCTCCCTTCATCCTGTATATTGAGATTAAATTTATACTGCCTTTGCTCTTTACTTGCTGAATATGATAAAATGAACCGTGAGAAGCTATTCCACAGAGCAATTCTTGAGGATAGAAAAATGTTATTAATAACCCTCCTGAATCACCACAACTCTGAAAACAAAAGCAAATAAAAATGTCATTTCTGAAATTAATTACTAATTGTTACCAGAAAGCAAACCAAAGCTTTTTTCAATGACAGACAACTATTATAGGAGAAAGATATGGAGACAAACATACATAATAATCTTTTGGATAATTTGTGAATAAGTTTTATCCTAGTTAATGTTAAATTCAGAAAATCTATAAGTTTTATTAACTCTCAGCTAAATGAAATAAGAAATTCGACCTTTAAGAAAAGCTCCATATTCAGACAAAATGCCTAGTATTTGCTAAGACATGAAATATATTTTTTTCTGTTTTCCTTTGGTATAAAACTTTCCACTGGTAAATACTATAATTTCTGCTCAAATAATACATTCAACTTAAAAGAAATAGTTGAGCGTTTAGAGTGCTAGCGACAATGTAAACTAAAAAAATATTCCTTATATTTCAAAACCAAATGAAAGAATTATTTTTAACCTGTTTTTCCTCTCTCTATGTGTAAGTTTAGTTTCTAAGCCAAAGTGGGGGGAAATGATACCTCTGTTCAGATTTTGCATTTATTTATGTAAGGCCCTAGAAAAAGTCCAGTCTAAGCCCCACTATCATTGCAAGTTAACACCTTAAACCATTTTTACCCATTGATATTGTGGCATGAGTCAAGGTTATCATGTTAACAAGTCAGGGTCGTAGTGGAACTCTGATGGTCTGAACCATGTTTTGATTGGTCAGAGATGGTTAGAAAGCCCTGGAGCACAGAACACTGCCTCCAATGACAGTTTCTGGCTGGCTTCTAGAATGAGAGTCACTGGAGTGCCTGGGGGTCAGAAGGAAAGTACAGAACATGTAGGAATGGAGAAGGCAAGAACTTTGAAATGCAGCTGAGTTGCACTCTATATTCATGTGCTATCTTTGTTCAGCAAAAAACAAGAGGGCCTAAGAAGCTGAAGGGTTGGAGTGATTCTGCCTACCCACCAGATCTACGATGTGCCCTGGAGAGAGGCTGAACCAGGAGGTGGGGTCTTGGGGCCCTCCTGCCTCTAGTAGTGTGAGCATCTTCCTCCCAGCCCACCTGGACTGGAACTCCACAGTTTCAAGTAACATTGTTTTCATTCTTCTAGGGGCAAGACAGTGACTTTACTTAGTATCAGTAAAATGAACACAATGTCTCCTAATGGTGTGGAGGAAAACTATGTTGCTTGGACTTCCTGAGAGGTGGACATTATCTAACATGGTGCTCCCTAAGGCATCTTCCAGAGTAATTTTGATAATCCTTGCCTTTTGCTTTATGCCCTCTGTAGAACCTAACACCCTTGAAAGATCAAGTCCACTGAACAAAAGAGCATTGAAAAGAAATTCCTCCTAATTCTGTCCTCTTAGGGCAAATCAACATGCCAGTACAGGATCTACTTGAAGGTTAGAGTTTCAACTAGAATAAAGGTCTGGTGATGGTGTTGCATGGGTCATTCTTTAATAATGTGGAGGAAAGTTGATGGCTTATGGAGCAAGGAACATTTTATTGCTTGAAATTACGACCATCTTAGCAAATGCACATACAGTGATTGAATCAATATTCAATGATGTTTTAGAAAATAGATGTGGAATGTAAATGATTTTTCTGTTTTTCTTGGTTTGGAGTGAAATGCTCATTAAATTCAAGATGCATCCAGCTGCCACATTTCCTGAATGCTGAGGGCATAGGGAGGAACGCAAGGATGCAGACCTACCTCTGTATTTGAGTCTGATGGCTGGCAGCGTGGGCGGGAATAAAAGGCTGCAGGTGCCAACCCTCAGGGGTGGGTGGGGTAGGAAGCTTGGCTGCCTCCTTACAGCTTTAAGAGGATTATATTATTTGATGCATGTAAATATAGTTCCCTTGTCATGCTTTTAAAGTGTTCAGTCCATTTCACTGAATATTTACTCTGATTAGACAATTGTCAATGTGCACCCGCTTTCCTTTTTTATATCCAAGTCTCCTAAGTCCTTTCCCTGTAACCCACAGGCTGCCCTTTAAAACCTTGCTAGTGGGCTTTTCAACTTCACAGTACTGCTTCCTCTAAAGGTACCCTGAGCCATTTAATTATATGTTTCTTTGAACCACAAGAAATCAGACAGCTCTTAAACTCTGACATTAGTGAACAAAAGGCACCAACTGAGTCAGATTCTATTGTTGTTCTTATATCCACAGCTGAGTTTTGATCCTGCTGACAAAATGGCTGCTTTTAATCCATCCGTAGGTTCTAGAGCTATGAAGAAAGTTTGTAAGTTGGCTACCCATCTAAAATGCCACTAAATAGTCTCTTGTTGCAGAAATGGCCAGATTGAAAGTAGGGCAGCAGAGAGACTAAAATGAGGTTTCAGGGGAAAATTCCAGGCTTGAGTTAGCTTGGATCACCACCCAGTATTTAATTTAAATGTTCTCTGGGTAGAATTTTAATAGTGCACTTGCCATTCAGTAAAGCATGTGCCTCCCTGAGATGGAAGCCAGGCTGAGAAGTGGTTCTGATAAAGGTGTTGCAGTGCTTTGCCTGTCTATTACTGCTTTGGCTTAAGAGGATCAAAGAACTTTATTGATATTCTCACAAGACCCCCAGACTCTGTCTCTTCTTAACTTTCTCTATCCAACTGATCAAAAATTCCTGTCGATGCTATCTCATAAAAGCACCCCCCCCAACACCCACTCTGTATCTGTCTCTGATTCTTTGTCCTCAGGACTCTTGACTTATTGACCTTGCTTCTCTTGATTGCTTCAACATCTCCTGACAGGTGTCTAGCTCCCTGTGTCTTCTTGTTCTGCCCACCCTCCAATCTGCTACCAAGGTCTTCTTTCTAGAAATCTGAACAGACCTCCTGTCTAAAACCTGTCGCTAGCTTACCACTCCTATCCAATGGTATATTATGGTACCATAATACATGTGCATAATGTCCACACACTTTGCAGGGCACACCTGCATCCCCTGTCCCCCTTTCTACTTCCCCATCTCTCTGTGTAGATTCTGTCCCTTTGTCCCAACAGTGGCAGAGTGTGTAGAATTCAGACCCACAGACAGAGACACACACATGCAACTAGAAACACTCCCACCCACCTCATTCTTTTGTGCTCGCTTCCTTGCACATGGTGTCCTTTTCCAAGGACGCTCTTCTTCTTGTTCACCTGTCATAAGCTCCTTTGTCCTTCAGATTCATTGTATGTGTTACATCCTTTGGGAAGATTTCCAGACTGTTCCCTCTCCAGTCTGGGAGGGCAGAAGTCACCGTTTCCTCTTCAGTGCCACCACACCCCTGGGCATACTCCACTTCCACCTGCCACCCTTATTACTCACATGTCCATTCCTGATGTTGAGCTCTTTGAGTTGCAGGGACAGTGTTCATGAGTGAGTAATGGGTAACAAACTGGACAGTCACAAACTACTGAGAACAAGAGCTCACTTTCTTTTCAATAGCTAAACCTAACATTTTTCTTGACTCCCCAGCCTGCCTAGAGGAAACGGTTGATTTGAACTCGTCCTGTTAAACTTAGTCAGCTGAGTACTTCTTTGGAAAGGGACAAGTTTGGGGAATTTATTTCCCATTTTCACAATCTAGCACAAAGCTTAGTCACTTGGATAAGGACTTAGTTTTAAAATGGTTTTCTTTTCCCCTCTTCCTGTCCTTCTCTGGGGTGACATTTGGATCTGAATATAGCAGATGCTCATGTAAATCTATGGCAATGAGACCACACTCCAACTGTGTGATGACCTGAGTCCTCCTACTGTCTGCATTTGGTATCTCCCTGAGCCTTAGGTCCCTGATACTCCTTATCGTGGTCTCTTCACTGTCTCTCCTTTTCATTCAAGCTCTAGCCTTGTCCTTGTTGCCAGTGCAGCATCAAGTTCTAAATCTCTTGCAAGTCATGAGCAGGCTGTTGTTATTGTTCAGTCCCTAAGTCATGTCTGACTATTTGCAACCCCATGAACTGTAGCATGCCAGGCTTCCCTGTCCTTCACTGTCTCTTGGAATTTGTTCAAACTCATGTCCATTGAGTCAGTGATGCTATCCAACCATCTCATTCTCTGTCATTCCCTTCTCCTCTTGCCCTCAATCTTTCCCAGCATCAGGATCTTTTACAGTGAGTAGGCTCTTCACGTCAGGTGGCCAAAGTATTGGAGTTTCAGCATCAGTCCTCCTGATGAATATTCAGGGTTGATTTTCTTTAGGATAGACGGGTTTGATCTCCTTGCTGTCCAAGGGACTCTCAAGAGTCTTCTCCAACACCACAGTTCGAAGGCATCAATTCTTTGGTGCTCAGCCTTTTTTATTGTCCAACTCTCACATCCATACATGACTACTGGAGAAACCATAGCTTTGATTATGCTGACCTTTGTTGGCAAAGTAATGTCTCTGCTTTTTAATATGCTTTCTAGGTTTGTCATTGCTTTTCTTCCAAGGAACAAGGATCTTGTAATTTCATGGCTGCAGTCACCATCCACAGTGATTTTGGAGTCCAAGAAAATAAAGTCTGTCATGATTTCCATTGTTTCCCTACCTATTTGCCATGACATGATGGGACCAGATGCCATGATCTTAGTTTTTTGAATGTTGAGTTTTAGGCCAGCTTTTTTACTCTCCTCTTTCACCTTCATCAAGAAGCTCTTAAATTCTTCTTCACTTTTGGCCATTAAAGTGGTATCATCTGCATATCTGAAGTTGCTGATATTTCTCCTGGCAATCTTAATTCCAGCTTGTGCTTCGTCCAACCTGACATTTGCATGATGTACTCTGCATAGAAGTTAAATAAGGAGGTGACAATATACAGCCTTGATGTACTCCTTTCTCAATTTGGAACCAGTCCGTTGTTCCATGTCTGGTTCTAACTGTTGCTTCTTATCTTGCCTTCAGGCTTCTCAGGAGACAGGTCAGGCGTAGGGACAGTTAGAACCCCAGGTTGGGTGGATCTTGCACTCTACTGCCTCTCTACAGCACGGATACCCCTTTGTTGGCATGAGGCTCCTGTGAGGAGGTCTCCCTGAAGATTTCTGAATAAAAGAGGTTCATATGAAATGGTTTCATCATCATGATTCCTTTATACAACTCCCACTTCCAAGAGGGAGCATCCCCACCCTAATCTTATTTTCTCAAGCTCTCCAAGCTCTATGCCATCAGCCTCGGAAGGACTATTTTTGTGGGTCCATAACATCCCTTCTGTCATGTTCTGCATTCTTATGTGATCATCATTTGACTCTTTGTTCAGTTTTCCTGTTTTTGTTCCCTTGAAATATAAAATCTAATTGGGGGAGCCCTGAGAAAATTATTTTATGTTTACTGAAAGCTTAGCTTTTAAGATTCTTCTACAAATCATGACACTGAAAATGCATTCACTGTTCAAGAGAGTATTAGATTGAACATTGAATGTTACGTGCCCTTCAGGGTCATGTAAGACATAGCTGAAATAAAAAGAATGTGGAATCCTTTAGAAGAAATTACACTGGTACTCAATATTATGGTCATGAGAGGTGTTGGTGTTAACAGGTTGCACCAAACATTGGTGGAGAGAGGATTCTGAGGATACTCATGTAATCCCAGACCACTATAGCCTTCAGTGCATTTCACTGTTCTTGGCTCCCTCCTGAAAACTTTCTGAGAGATAGTGATTAATCATAGTTTTATTAAAGATTCCTAATTCTATACTGGGGCTTCCCAGGTGGTACTAGTGGTAAAGAAACTGCCTACCACTGCAGAAGATGCAGGAGATGAGGTTTTGATCCCTGGGTTGGGAAGATCACATAGAGGAGGGCATGGCAACTGACTCTAGTCTTCTTGCCTCCAGAATCTCATGGACAGAGGAGCCTGGCAGGCCGCAGTCCATGGAGTCTTAAAGAGTCAGAAGCAACTCAGCCCCCACAAACAATTCTATATTGGATTTTTAGTTGAATAGTGTTGTTTGTGACCAACTTACATGATAAAAACATGGGCAGATTCAGTTTCAGCTTATCTTGATTCTTAATGTGTGGGCAAGATATCTCCCATATATAGCAAGGAGAGATATATTCATTAAACAAAAACATCTCTTCACCATTTATTAAAACCTTGCAAATGTTTGTAATTAGAGTCAAATAGATCTTAATGTATTATTCCCTGGATAAAAGAGTGTCTTCTTTTAGGAAAGGTGCTAATCTGTGCTCCCTCAGATTTCCTTGCTTACAAAAAGCCAGCTGACTCAAACAGCCACAGCCAGGGGACCCCCACTGTTCACTAGTTAACTCTCTCAAATCACACACAGTGCCAGGAGGAAACCTAGGTCTCTAAATCAGGGTCTTGACTTTATATGGACACGGATGGCTCTGTGGATCTGATGAAAGCTGTGAATTTTCTCAGCAGGAAACTGCAAGATGAATATACAACATGTTGCCTACAGTTTCAAGGTATATACAAGCCCTGCTCAAACCACTTTAGAACCCTTGATTTCAAATGGCATGTAGCACACCCAAACCGCCACGTTGCCTTCTGCACTTAGTCAAAATTATCCTTGAAAACCCTTAAGTTGCTGTGAAAAAATAATATGCCTGGTTTATGTATCTAAAATCTCGGTATATTCCATAACAGAGAGCAAGTATGAAAGGTATACTTTTGCAGTGTTTTTAATTACAGGGGAAAGAAAGAGCATGAAGTTGCTGAGCTTCTAAAGTTGAATATGAAAAGGTTAAATGAACATATGATGCGGCTCCATTCCATAAATCTGACATGCAGTGGCAACTCTAGAAAGAGCTACTATTTGTGCATCTGGTGTCTGCAGTGCCAGCACTGGAGACAGGAAAATTTGAAATAAAATTTATCCCCTCCCAAGAATCAAGGGCATTCATCTTGACTCTGTCCTTCCTTCAAACTGCATGTTTGTTGTTGTTTTTTTTTTAAAACAGACATGTAAAATTTCCAATAATAACTCACCATAATTATTATATGCATTCTCTTTTTAATGTCTAAATAATGTCTTGTGCTTTGCTATTTAACTTGAGAAAGAAGTCAACTTTTTTGGACTTGTATTTTCAATCATAAGTCATCACCTTGAATAAATATACACAAACACATACACACACAGAACTAGATTTGACTGTGCAATGGAAATTTGAAGTTTCATTGTTCCAACCTAGAGTTTTGTGATTTGCAAATTTACTACTTGAGGTCAGTAATCAGTGGGCTTTTCTTAACGTCTTTTTTCTTTTCTTTTTGTATGTATGCTCCTGCTGTCTCTCTCTCCTGGCACCTCCTCTTGCAGCTGTGTAATGGGGGCTCGGTCACCGAGCTCGTCAAAAGTCTACTTAGGTGCAACCAGCGGTTGGACGAAGCAGTGATCTCATACATCTTATATGGGGCCCTCTTGGTAAGGACGTCCTTCAAGGTGGGGTCGGGGGGGGGCAGTTTATCATTGGTTGGCTCCCCACAGCATATTAACAAGGGGAAATACTGCTCTATAATATGCAAGGTGTATTAATAGCAGAGAGGTGTAGCCTAATATGGACTTTGATTAGATTTTAATCGTAGGGTAATTGTTTAAAACTAACCGATGCAAATATTCCTTTTCTCTTTCCTGTTGTTTGGTGGCGATGGGACTCCATGAAGGGCCTTCAGCATTTGCACAATAACCGAATCATCCACCGTGATGTCAAGGGGAATAACATTCTTCTGACAGCAGAAGGAGGAGTTAAGCTCGTTGACTTTGGTAATGACTGTTGTCGTTTGTTTTCTTGATGTGTGCAGTTTAGCCAAAGGCAACAATTTATTGTGATCTCAGAAGACTGGGGCCTCTCTTCTACACGGTAGGCTGAGGGCCTTTCCAGTGACACACAGCCTGGAGAGTCGGGGGGGTTCACCAGATGGATCACCCTAGGAGATGCTGTTTGTTAATCTGTTTTCAGCTTTAGAAGCAATTTTATTAAAGAGAGAATATGAAAGTGCTTCAAAAGAAAAATCTGATGGGAAAAACTTTGGTTTGTTGGGAAGGATTTCACAACTCAGGGCAATTGTCTGTAATTTACATTTTGTCTATTATTCTTTTGCATATGAAAAGAGAAAACCGTTTGGTCTTTTAAATGACTTTCTCTAGCCTCAGGCATACTAATTCCCAGTGAGCAGAAGGTAAAATAGTCCTTTGGGTCTGGAAACTAACATCCCTTTAAATTGTGATTATTGCTGCTACACGTGAGGCTGGTTGAACTGGAGACATTTACAGGAAATGGAAAGGCGAGAGGAAGCAGAGCTGTATCACCGAAGGCCAGAGAACTGTTAACTGTCTCCTTACAGCACTCCTCGAATTGAATCCAACAAACCATTTGATTTTCCTCTTTAAGGTTATCAAATGGTTTCATCTTCTAAATGAATTTAACAATAGTTAGTCCTTCAGCATGACTGCTGTAAATAATGAGAAAACATTTACAGAAGCACTTTTTAAAATGTTCTTTTTCAGTGGCAGCACAGGAGGAGAAAAGATGGATGATTTTGTATGTTCATTGCTTTATTGGTAAGGAAGAATTTAGTGTTAAAATGTATCAGTGAATCATTTGCTCAGGAGAAATTACTCCAAGATAAATGAAATTGCACTAAGTAATTGGTCTGTTTTTTAAAAAAGCAAAGAAAAATGTTAGGGTGTTTAAATAGAGTCTAAAGAACCCTCTTTGGCTGTCTAATAAAGAGTAAAGAATGCAAGCCGTTAGTGGAACTACTGTCAAAAAACAACCCAAGGTACTTGGCAAATCTATGCCTAACGTTCTTAAAGATATGTTCTTTGCTGATGAGCACATGGATCCAAGTTTTTTAGTTCTTATTGACAACATTAGTGGCAACTATTGTTATTGTCTTAAGGACTGTGGTAGGTTTCTGCTTGGTATAAAACAGTACCTTGTATTTGTAAAGTGCTTTTCAACTTTTAAGTCATTTTCACAGTTGCTCCATTACTTGATATTTAAGAGCTCTTTGTGTTAGGTGTAATGAGCAGTATTACCCCCAGTTTAAAGGTGAGATAACTGAAACTCATTGTGAGGTTGTCTGCTTGAGGCCTTACAATTATTAAAGGAAAAGGCATAATCTCTATGGGAAACAGGCCTTCTGACTCCTAATCCAATTCACCTTTACATCTGTTGTGGCATAAAAAAGAGAATTGGCCAAAGACTAAAACAAAGTACATGGGAATTATATTAAAATTCAAGTCCTCAACATTGAGCCCTAGATAATAATAGTCTTAGTCTGTTTCTTTTTCCATTTGACAAATATATTTTTCTTGACAGGTTTCCAGCCTTCTAGGTAAGATAAGGCACTGAAAATTTTCTATGTCTACACTGATGCTCAATTATAGATAATACATGCCAATTTTCTTCCTCCATCAAATGAAGCACCATTTTTAAGAAAGATATCACCTGAAATATTTTGGAAATATAGTAGGATGTATTGGGGATTAATCCTAGTTCTTGATGCTTGCTTTTGATTCCAATTTTGCAGCAGTACAGATAGAAATATTCACTAGAAAAAAAAAATATCCTAGTGATTTAGATAGAGCGTTAAATGCTCATACCTACAGTGTTTGGCAAACTGCAGTTTGTGAACCAAGTCTGACCTGTGTCCCATTTTGTACACCCTATGAACTAAGAAAGATTTTTATATTTTTTAACAGTTGGGGGAAAAAAATCAAAAGAAGAGAATGATACATGATAATGATATGCATCCCTAAATAAGTTTTTGCAAAAACACAACCACACTCATTTGCTTTTGTGTTATCTGAGCAGCTTTTGCAGAGTTGAGTAGTTGTGACAGAGCCTTAAGCTCACAAAGTCTAGGATATTTGCTGTCTGACCCTCTATAGAAGAAGTTTGCCAGCCCTGGTCTAGCATCATCATCTGCTTGCTGCTGAATTATGACATGCTTTTCTTGTAGGTGTCTCAGCTCAACTCACCAGTACACGTCTACGGAGAAACACATCTGTTGGCACCCCATTCTGGATGGCCCCTGAGGTGAGCAGAGGGCATCTATTTCTGTGTATTTGTTGAAAGCCTTGGTACTATGCCTTTTTTATGGGAAAGTCACACACTTCACAAAACTTTCAGCAAGAAAAAAATCCTTTATCCTCATTGAACTGTGAGAGTTCTGACTTGGTGGGTGAGAATGATGACAATCTTAGGACTAAGTGACAGAAGGCCCATAGAATACCTTCAGGCAGTTAGAAAAAAGGTGCCTCCTCCGGAAGATGCCATGTTCTCCGAGGGTCAAGGCTTGGCAAGTTCATCCCACCACTGCGTAAATTAGAAGAGGTCACCTTCCCTGGATAGAGGCAGGCCCAGTGACACATGGCTCAATGAAGAGACAGATTTCAGTTCCAGGTGGCCTACAGAACAATATGCCATAGTCCTAGCTATTTTTTTCAATACAGGATACATAGCAACTTCTCTTATGTACTTTTCTGTATCTCTAGTAAAACCTGGGATTTGGGTCTAATTTTTAGTTCTGGCATCACCACAAAATCCTCTGTGAAATGACACATGTAAAAGTTTGCAGAATTTCCAGGCTAGATACCAACAGACCCTGAAGCACAACTACAGCTTTTCTTGTCAGGTCAGCATTGAATTCCACAGTACTCCGGCCTGGGATCAGGCAAATGGGCTCTTTGAATAAGAGGACTTATGTAGTCATCTCTTAGGAGATGGGGGGAAATGTATTATGAAAAACTACAAAGCCAGCACCGTTCAAATTAACAGTTTTAATTTAATGAGACAAATGGCATTGTTTTGTGGAACTCAGTTGTCCTTTGCAATGTGAATCCATTTCAGAGCATGACAGCATGGATTATTTTGAGTTATTTTGTCATTCTTATTACCGCATAACATCTGGTGATCCAGTTCTCCCACCACTTTACTCTATTTCAGCTTGTGTGATCTCCTTGTTTAAATAGCATCTCCTTTGGCCTCTAACTGGTACATCTCTGTTGACTTGATGCCAGCTTCATAATAAAAATAAATACGGGCATTGATGTTACGTGGCAAATGACCATCCAGATAATCTGGAACACGGTTTTTACTGCAACTTCTCCCATTTCATTATTACATATAAAATTATCATTGAAACAAAGGCAAACCATAAAAATTTTCATAGGGATCTCATGAACTCTACTTTGAGAAACACTGTAGGACAAAGTCACGATTCCTTCGGATGAGGAACAAAGACATTCATATTCAAGACTCTCTGCTGTCCAACCTCATCTCAGTTTCCTTTCCCCCAATTTACTTGTTTTTAATGCGTCAGCAGTAGTGGAAAAACAAGTAATTCCCCAAATCTGTCCTTATACATCATTTCTTTAAACCTTTCTATATATTGTTACATCATCTGGAGTGACCTTCAGAACTCTGCAAATTTCCTCCTCAATCTTCAATCCTCTCTCAAATGCTATTCCCCTAGGAAACCTTCCTTATCCTTGGCCAACACTGAAGCTCTTTTCCCCGAGTGTCCACTGCAGCCTTTACTCTCTCCATTAGCAAGCTATGACCACTGTACTACAGTTATTGACAAGCAGGTCTTCTAACTGAGCTCTAAAGTCTAGCAGGGACTTGGGATGCTCGGCTCTCAGCGTAGTGCTTGGCATAGAGTAGGTGCTCAATGTGCATCTGTTGAATGAACGAATATATTGGTTAAAAAGGAAAAGTCAAAGAGAAGATGAGTTTGGAGGGTAGATTGAGAAGGGCTTTGTGACTATTGGTATTCACACATTGCTCTGCTGATTTTGGTTAATTATTTATTTTAAAAACATTAAAAAAATTTTTTTCATTGGTTAATTTATTATTAAAGGAAAGTGTATCTGAGGCCACTCAATTCTTATTTAGGGTGGCATAAGTCAGAAGATGGTATTCCCATTCCAGTCTTCAGCAAGTTGGTGTTCTCAGAATCACAGAACACAGAAAAGGGAAAGCTGCCCTTGGCTTTATATATTTCTCATGAAGTGTTTGTGACTTTTAGGTTTCAGCTGGGTTGAAGAAAATATGTCGACTGTTTCAATAGGGGCACTTTAGTGGTCCATGGTGAGCTTCTGTTGCCCAGATTGCCTGGAACTGGTTCCCTTCTTATCAGGGGAAAGCTAGTGTTGCATCTTGCCTGCTGTAGTGGATAAATTGAGGAGTAGGCAGATTATGGTGTGGAGACCTTGAGAGTGTCTCTCAGGAGCAAGTGCCCAGTTTCTTTGAGTATGACTCAGAGGTTCTCTCAGAATGTGTGCTTGCATCCAAGACACTTTGGGACCAGGTTGCAGCTCCTGGGACTCAGTCCCACACTGTCCTCATATTTTTATTCCCCAGAGTCTTTTTGCTCCATGACCCTCTATAAGAATGTACATAGGAATAATCTTACATTTGTCAGTTCCATTCAGCAAACTTAAAAAAAATTATTTTATTGAAGTATAATTGACTAACAATGTTGTATTAATTTCAGTAGTGATTCAGTTATACATATACATATATATATATATATTCTTTTTCATATCCTTTTCTATTATGGTTTATTACAGGATACTGGTTATAGCTTTCTGTGCTGTACAATAGGTCCTTGTTGTTTGTCTATTCTATACATAATAGTTTGCATGTTAACCCCAAACTCCCAGTCCATCCTCCCCTTCCCACTCACCCCCTTGGCAACCTGAAGTCTGTTCTCTATATCTGTGAGTCTGTTTCTGTTTGGGTGATAAGTTCGGTAATATCATATTTTAGATTCCACATATAAGTGATATCATATGGTATTAGTCTTTCTCCTTCTGACTTACTTCACTTAGTATGATAATCTCTAGGTCTATCCATGTTGCTGTAAATGACATTATTTCATTCTTTTTTTTAATGGCTGAGTAGTTTTCCTTTGGGGCTTCTCTGATAGTTCAGTTATAAAGAATTCACCTGCAATGCAGGAGACCTCAGTTGATTCCTGGGTAGGGAAGATCCGCTGGAGAAGGAATAGGTGACCCGCTCCAGTATTCTTGGTCTTCCCTTGTGGCTCAGCTGGTAAAGAATCCGCTTGCAATGTGGGAGATCTGGGTTTGATCCCTTTGTTGGGAAGATCCCCTGGAGAAGGGAAAGGCTACCCTCTCTAGTATTCTAGCCTGGAGAATTCCTTGGACTGTATAGTCTATGGGGTTGCAAAGAGTCAGACACAACTGAGCGACTTTCACTAGTGTTCCTTTCAACAAACTTGTACTGTCCTTCTGTGAGGCCAGGGTTTGGGTCAAGAGGAGTCCTTGAAAGGATAATCAGTAATGGTTCAAATGGATATTGTCTTTATATGGTGGCCTGCATAGTATAATGACCTTAACATGCTTTCATTTCTGCTTATGTGAATAAGTGGTATTTAGGTTAAATATGGGAGAAGGCAATGGCACCCCCATTCCAGTACTCTTGCCTGGAAAATCCCATGGACGGAGGAGCCTGGTGGGCTGCAGTCCATGGGATCACTAACAGTCAGACACGACTGAGCAACTTCACTTTCACTTTTCAATTTCATGTATTGGAGAAGGCAATGCCAACCCACTCCAGTGTTCTTGCCTGGAGAATCCCAGGGGTGGGCGAGCCTGGTGGGCTGCCGTCTAGGGGGTCACACAGAATCGGACACGACTGAAGCGACTCAGCAGCAGCAGCAGCATATTAAATATGACAGCAATGCATGTAATGCCAATGCCAGTGGAATAAAACGACAGCATGCCACCAGTGCTTTTACTTTGAAAACACAGCTGAAAGCTCCTTGATCCTATTTTACTTTTTATGATTTATTTAGTTTTGGCTGTGCTGGGCCTTCGTTGCTGCTTGGGCTTTTCTCTAGTTGCAGTGAGCAGGAGCTACTCTCTAGTTGTATTGTGGTGGCTTCTCATTGTGGCGGCTTCTCTTGTTGTGAAGCGCTGGTTTCAGGTCATGTGGGCTTCAGTAGCTGCAGCACATGAGCTTAGTAGTTGCGGCTCCTGGGCTCTAGAGTAGTTGTGACGCACTGGCTTAGTTGCTGCTCAACATGTGGGATCTTCCCGGATCAAGGATTGAACTTGTATCTCCGGCATTGGCAGGCAGATTTTTTGCCAGCGAGTCACCAGGGAAGCCCCTATTTTTGAGAAATTGAACCAAATTATTTTTTTCCATTTGCATTTTGATTTCACCAGCCTGAGTAACTCCAATATCTATAATAATTCAAATTAGCTATAGGCTTCAAACCAGATAGCTGATGAAATGTGACCAGACCACCATCAGGTGTTGACTTGCAGTTTAAACAGCAGTTCACCAGGGCAGCTCGAAGCTGTAGCATGAATTATCATATTCACAACATTCTCCACTTATTTTCTCTTTGCCACCTTATGTAGACATTAGTAAGGTTGAAAGATGCTGAGTGAAAGTGGTATCAACTCAGCCATGTAGGAGAAGAAAAATTCCAGGGAGTGCCTTTAGTGTTATAGTACTTTGAAACACTGCTACTGGGGAAATATTGGCTGGCATAGTTAAGAGTTATTCTAGAAGTCAATATCAGTAGAATTTCTTTCTTTCTTTTTTTTTTTTTAACAAACTGATCATGTCAGTAGCATACTGTGACACAGGAAGATGATTTTAAATGGGAAAGAAAGATGCTCAACATAGAAACCAAGAGTCGGACACACTGAGCGACTGAACTGAACTGAATCACATTGCATTCTCCCTGTGTATTCGCTTTCATGTGGCCATCATGTTATAAGGACACCAGTAATACTGGATTAGGGACCCATTCTGCTCCAGTATGACCTCACTTTAACCAGTTACATCTGCAGCAACCCTATTTTCAAGTAATTTCACATTCTGAGGTCCTGGGAGCTAGCACCTTAACGTATCTTTCTTGGAGGACACGATTCAACCTGTAAACAACTCTCCAAAATAGTTAGCACCCCTCCTCTGTAGTAAATAATTCAGATTTCTAAGGTAATCAGCCAGTCATTTTGAATCTACAGATCTCATGTTACAGGTGCTAGGTTAGT